GGAGTCGAGACAAGAACTCTTGGGAAGAGAAGGCTGTGAATGGAGAAATCAATTGCATGTTGAGCTTTGGGGGGAAAGTTTAAACAATGAATTGGAATCGTGACAAGAACTCTTGGGAAGAGAAGGCTGTAGTGAATGGAGAAATCAATTGCATGTTGGGCTTGTTGAAAGGGAAATTAAACAATGAATTGGAGTCGAGACAAGAACTCTTCGGAAGAGAAAACTATGCATCGAGAAATACTATTGCATGTTGGGCTTGGGGGGTGGAAATTTAAACAATGAATTGGAGTCGTGACAAGAACTTTTCGGAAGAGAAAGCTGTGCATGGAGAAATCTATTGCATGTTGAGCTTTGGGGGGGGAAGTTTAAACAATGAATTGGAATCGTGGCAAGAACTCTTCAGCAGAGAAAGCTGTGAATGGGGGGGGGAAATTGAAACAATGAATTGGAGTCGAGACAAGAACTCTTCGGAAGAGAAAACTGTGCATCGAGAAATTCTATTGCATGTTGGGCTTGGGGGGGGAAAATTAAACAATGAATTGGACTCGAAACAAGAACTCTTCGGAAGAGAAAGCTGTGAATGGAAAAATCTATTGCATGTTGGGCTTTGGGGGGGGAAGTTTAAACAATGAATTGGATTCGTGGCAAGAACTCTTCAGCAGAGAAAGCTGTGCATCGAGAAATACTATTGCATGTTGGGCGTGGGGGGGGAAATTTTAAACAATGAATTGGAGTCGAAACAAGAACTTTTCGGAAGAGAAAGCTGTGAATGGAGAAATCAATTGCATGTTGAGCTTTGGGGGGAAATTTAAACAATGAATTGGAGTCGAGACAAGAACTCTTCAGCAGAGAAAGGTGTGAATCGAGAAATACTATTGCATGTTGGGCTTTGGGGGGAAATTTAAACAATGAATTGGAGTCGAAACAAGAACTCTTCGGAAGAGAAAGCTGTGAATGGAGAAATCTATTGCATGTTGGGCTTTAGGGGGGGAAATTTAAACAATGAATTGGAGTCGAGACAAGAACTCTTCGGAAGAGCAAGCTGTGAATGGATAAATCTATTGCATGTTGAGAAAGCTGTGAATGGAGAAATCTATTGCATGTTCAGCTTTGGGGGGGGAAGTTTAAACAATGAATTGGAATCGTGACAAGAACTCTTCAGCAGAGAAAGCTGTGAATCCAGAAATACTATTGCATGTTGGGCTTGGGTTTGGGGGGGAAATTTAAATAATGAATTGGAATCGTGGGAAGAGAAAGCTGTGAATCGAGAACTACTATTGCATGTTGGGCTTGGGGGGGATTTTAAACAATGAATTGGAATCGAGACAACCACTTTGCACGCACTTTCTACGCACGTTACGCACTTTGTACGCACTTTGTATGCACTTTGTGCACTTTGCGTGGCGCGGACTCTTTACGCACTTTTTACGCACTTTGCGCACTGTACCCAAGTTTACGCACTTTGTGCACTGTTCGCATTGACATGGCGCGCGCTGTATAGACACATTTTTTACGCACTTTTTACGCACTTTTTGCGCACTTTTTACATGGCGCGGACTGTATACGCACTTTTTACGCACTTTTTACGCACTTTTTGCGCACTTTTTACGCACGCTAACCAGTTTGCGCACTTTACGCACTTGGCGCACTATACGCAGCACTCTTTGCGCAATTAAAAAACGCACTTTTTACGCACTTTTTGCGCACTTTTTACGCACTTTGCACACTTTACCCAGTTTACTCGCACTTTACGCACTTTTACGCACTTTTTACGCACTTTTTGCGCACTTTGCGCACTTTACCGCAGTTTAGACACTTTGTGCACTGTTCGCACTTTGACATGGCGCGCACTGTATAGACGCATTTTTTACGCGCTTATTACGCACTTTTTACGCACTTTTTGCGCACTTTTTACGCACTTTGCACACTTTACCCAGTTTACTCGCACTTTTCGCACTTTTTACGCACTTTTTACATCTTTTTACGCACTTTTTGCGCACTTTTTACGCGCTTTGCGCACTTTACCCAGTTTAGGCACTTTGTGCACTGTTTGCACTTTGACATTGCGCGTACTGTATAGACGCATTTTTTACGCACTTTTTACGCACTTTTTGCGCACTTTTTACACACTTTGCACACTTTACCCAGTCTAGGCACTTTGTGCTCTGTTCGCACTTTGACATGGCGCGCGCTGTATAGACGCATTTTTTACGCACTTTTTGCGCACTTTTTATGACTTTTTGCGCACTTTTTACGCACTTTGCACACTTTACCCAGTTTACTCGCACTTTTCGCACTTTTTACGCCTTTTTACTCATTTTTGCGCACTTTTCAATCACTTTACGCACTTTGCGCACGTTGACATGGCGCGCACTGTATAGACGCATTTTTTACCCGCTTTTTACGCACTTTTTACGCACTTTTTGCGCACTTTTTACATCTTTTAACGCACTTTGCGCACTTGACCCAGTTTACTCGCACTTTTTGCGCACTTTTTACGCACTTTGCGCACTTTACCCAGTTTAGGCACTTTGTGCACTGTTCGCAGTTTGACATGGCGTGCACTGCATAGACGCATATTTTACGCACTTTTTTACGCAGTTTTTGCGCACTTTTTACGCACTTTTTACGCACTTTTTGCGCACTTTTTACGCACTTTGCACACTTTACCCAGTTTACTCGCACTTTACGCACTTTTTACGCACTTTTTGCGCACTTTTTACGCACTTTGCGCACTTTACCGCAGTTTACACACTTTGTGCACTGTTCGCACTTTGACATGGCGCGCGCTGTATAGACGCATTTTTCGCGCACTTTTTAGGCACTTTTTGCGCACTTTTTACGCACTTTGCGCACTTTATACCCAGTTTATGCACTTTGTGCACTGTTCGCACTTTGACATGGCGCGCACCGTACAGACGCATTTTTTACGCACTTTTTACCCACTTTTTACGCACTTTTTGCACACTTTTTACACACTTTGCGCACTTTACCCAGCTTACTCGCACTTTACGCACTTTTTATGCACTTTTTACGCATTTTTGCGCACTTTTCACGCACTTTACGCACTTTGCGCATTTTGACATGGCGCGCACTGTATAGACGCATTTTTTAGGCACTTTTTACGCACTTGTTACGCACTTTTTGCGCACTTTTTACATCTTTTTACGCACTTTGCACACTTTACCCAGTTTACTCGCACTTTACGCATTTTTTACGCACTTTTTGAGCACTTTTTACGTACTTTGCGCATTTTACCCAGTTTAGGCACTTTGTGCACTGTTCGCACACGCTGCGCACCTTACTATGTGCACTGTACGCATATGTTCCCTGACTCCGACGTATTGTTCCCTGACTCCGACGTTCCTGTTCCCTGACACCGACGTTCCTGTTCTCTGACTCATGTTCCCTGACACGGTCGTGTGTTCCCTGACACCGTCTACGTTGTGCAGCAGAAGACCTTTTCAAAGAGCCGTTGCTCCAGATCTGAAGTTCCAAGTTGTCCTTTCCACTCCAACCTATTCCATTCGAACCGGGAAACATTGGCTTGGCACCAGCGGCTGAGATTCGCGTTGTTTCACAAAGCATTTGGTTTTGCTGAAACCCGGTGCCGTCTGTTTCTGAGACTTCCCATGAGAGGCTCTTGGGTGCCAGAGACCCCCAAAAGCCATTGGATGTGGCCACGGAAAGAATTGTCCACTGGATTGTCCTTAAAACCTTAATCGCGCAAACTTTCTGGGTAGACGTGCTGGTCCTGAAGCCTCCGCCCTGAAACAAACCGAACATATTTACCACAAAAAAGAAATAAAACTCAAGAACAACATGCTGCGACTGAGCTCAACAACAAAATCGAGAAGAACAATTGAAAACTGTAACAATTGCATGTTTTCTCAGCAGTTTGAGATGAACCTGTGTTGTCAAAGTGACGGAGTTCTAGAATACAACCTATCAGGACCCAAGGTTCAGACATAATGGTCAACAAAGGGCTTTGGCACTTCGCGCCCGGAAACCTGCTAGAGGTGTCAAAAAAAAGTTCAATAGGAATTACATAGGAATTACGACCAGAAACAACCAATTCTGGTGGATTTCATCATCATACTGAATGCAGAGATCCATGGCTTTCCTCAGAATTTTTGGAAGAGGTCTTGCTTGCTCGGCAGGATGAAGTGACATCCATATGTTGATTCCAGTTGAGTCCAATGTTCTTTTCTTTCTGTGACGTGACATGGCTATGATTTTCTGCTCAAGATCTGGCGTTGAACCAGCAGCGGATCCAGTCCTGCACCCACTAAACGCATGATATCTGATGCCAAAAAAGTGTGAGGCAGATGCAAACCTAGCACTTGGTGCAGTAGAACGGCTGCTGAGAATTTTTGATGCCCAAATGAACTTAAATGGTCGGTTTCTGGGGTGCTTCGTCGGGCCCTTTAGTTCACGAAAAAAGAGCTTTCCAAGTGCAGAAAAGGCACTTCTTCGCGAGCTGTACAATCGGAATCCTCGAATTTGTACTGTGAAATTCCTAAATCCTTGAAACATCCTAAATCTCGGAATCCGTTGAATCCGATCCAAGGCCTTGATGAAAAATCAAGTTGTCACAGCTGAAACTATCTCAAAGCCTTGGCTAATGATCCGAGGCAGCGGTTTGCAAAAATGCATAAAATGCAGCTTAATCAGGTCTGATTCTGATCATTTCTCGTGACTTTTCCTGTGCAAGCAGGAGTGGCACAGTTCATTGTTGGCAATCATCCAATGAGAAGTCGGCTATCACAAAGTGTCACAAACCTTCTTCACATGTGCGGCACCTTTTGCAAGTGTTGAAAAAGCGCATGCAGCTGCACGCAATAACTTAGATGGGACTTATCAAACCTGCTTTGGTACTTGGAACTTGGCACTGCCAGGAATGCCAGGAGCAAAACGCCAAAAACAACACGGCCAATAATAGAATGCGAAATCATACAAAATCATACAAAATCAGTGAATTCTAGAAAACGTCGAAAAACACATGTCAATTTGCGTGCCTAGCGCCTTTTTTCAGAGGCTGGCACTAAGCAACTCCATGTTGGAGGCGCCTCGTCTAGTCATCTAGTCCCCACCCTCCTTCACTATCTTGCCGATGCAGAAGTCGATCTTCAGCCACGGAGTGCCCTCGAAGAGCTCCTTGATACCCAAATCAAATCCCTTGCGAACCCACAAATGCCCGTTGAAGGAAAAAATGAAAAAGGAAGAAAAAACGAAAAAACACAAAAATCAAACAGGTGACTGGTGAGGGTGAACCGTTTGGGTGACTCAGGGTGGAGGAAGCCGGCTTGATACAAGCTGCCAGCAACAGCAATGAGGTGATCTGCAGCAAGTACATGGCCAGAAAGGGCATTGGGTCATCGCCGCAAAGGATGGCATCGCCACCTGTTTCTTTGGCTGTGACTTGCTTGGTAATGCTTTGGCAGCCCTCTCATTCTGTTTTCTCCCAGCATATTGAGTCATGCTGTATATGCTGTGCAACCCTTGATCCTTCAAGTGTGCCCATGGTGTACGGCCGTGCTTCATTGTCACATTAAAAAAAACCCGAGAACTATGTTTCATCACAAGCCCGGAAAAAAACAACTAAAAACGCCCATGGCTCCCTACCTCTTAGTACTTGCCGGAAGCTCAGCTTGAAGCAATTTTTGGGTTCCCAAAAGCCGAGCATCAGAAAAATCTGGTCCATGATCCAGTATCCTAAGCTATACAAGAATTGAACAGCGAAAGTCGCATGTTGAGTTCCACATTCTGCATCCAAGTCCAGCCCAGCCACGAAAAACATGCGCACGGGAGGTCACAATGGGGTCTAAGTCGGGGTCGAAGTCGGGATCCGTGAAAATGGCCGACAGGTTCTGATGGCCTCACCCGCACGCCGCCATGAAAGAACCATTGAAAGACCAGTCAAGCACGAGTCATTGCGAACCATCAAGAAGGCTTGCAAACTCCAAGGGCAACAAATAGACATGTAAAATTTCTTTTCTTTCAACTTTCATTCTCCCGGCACTTTTGGCTCTTGAGCAGCTCTGTTTCTTTTTTGTGTTTGCTGTATTTTGGGTGGTCCTCCCTTCTGTTAGTCTTTTGATGTCTTTTGTGACTTATACAACTGAAGCCCCAGCAACATAGCTTCTGGAGGGTTCCCATCTTAATTCACCCCCGATGTCATAGAAATATGATGGCGCCACTGGTGGCGCAATGGTCGGCAATCGGCCTTCCAGGGTGCAAATTGCGCTGTGGCAGCGCGGGTTGCATTCCTTGCAGTTCATGGCTTTCAAATCCAATCCTCCCGTGTGTCGGCTTAAAATCATTAAAGTCTACCGTGGGCGGTTACTTTTCAAGTGTATAGCCTGTATAGCCTTGTTATAATCCTTGAAGGCTAGGCATGCTAGACGACGACTTGCCTGAAAGTGCATATGCAGGCGAGGACACTGAAACTATTCGCGCTAAAAACATGCGCTTAAAATGAGAAGATTAAGGCCCAACTAGACACAATGCCTTCAGGATATTGTGGGGGGAATTGCGGGCCGTGCTCTAAACCAAATAGCAAAGCATGGCCATGCGTTGTACGGAGCTTCGATGGGCACCAGCTGCCCCGTGGAGGTGTGCATCAAATCCAATGCCAGCTGCCCAGTGAGGTTCATCGCCTTTCCCAGGCCTGGCCAAAGCCAGTCAAGCGCAGCAAAAATTGCGTTCGTTAAAACCCTTGCTGCTAGAGCTGCTGGCCTGCTACGAGCTCCATGACCTGTTCGTCGTGTTTCTGCGACGGGCTGTAGACCAGGCACGAAGCAACGGAGTCAAAGATTTCGAAGCCGGTCAGTTTGCCCTTGTTGAAGATGGCCTCACAACGCAGGCGGTGAAAGGGCCGCATGCGGGGCCAGCAGGAGAACCGATATTGCCGATATCAGTACAGGTAGTGCCCAAGCGAGCCCGGGGCGGAAGTTTCAGGAGGTAGGACCCTATAAGCCCAAAGAAAAAATGCGCCTATAGGATGTGTGCAACGCGTTCTCTTCCCGTCGCTTTCTCTTGCCATCCCCTTCTCTTGCCATCTCTGTCTCTTGCTTCCTCTTTCTCTTGCCAGCTCTTTCTCTTGCCATCTCTTTCTCTTGCCATCTCTGTCTCTTGCTTCCTCTTTCTCTTGCCATCTCTTTCTCTTGCCATCCCTTTTTCTTGCCATCTTTCTCTTACCACCTCTTTCACTGGCAATTGCTTTCTCTTGCTTCTCGTTCTCTTGCCATCGCTTTCTCTTGACATCTCCTTCTCTTGACATCCCTTTCTCTTACCATCCCTTTCTCTTGCCATCTCTTTCCCTTTCTTCCTCTTTCTCTTGCCACCAATTTCTCTTGGCATCCCTTTTTCTTGCCATCTTTCTCTTGCTTTCTCTTTCTCTTGCCATCCCTTTCTGTTGCCATGACTTTTCTTGCCATCTCTTTTTCTTGCCATCCCTCTCTCTTGCCATCCCTTTCTCTGCTTCCTCTTCCTCCTGCCATCCCTTTCTCTTGCCATCTTTCTCTTGTTTCCTCTTTCTCTTGCCATCCCTGTCTCTTGCTTCGTCTTTCTCTTTACATCTATTGCCCTCTTTTCTCTTTCCATCTCTTTCTCTTGCCAGCTCTTTCTCTTGCCATCGCTTTCTCTTGCTTCCTCTTTCTCTTGCCATCTCTTCTCTTGACATCCCTTTCTCTTGACATCTCTTTTTCTTGTCATATCTTTCTCTTGTCATCCCTTTCTCTTGCCATCTCTTTCTCTTGTTTCCGCTTTTTTTGGCCATCTCTTTCTCTTGACATCTCTTTGTCTTGCTTCCTCTTCCTCTTGCCAGCTCTTTCTTTTGAAATCCCTTTCTCTTGCCATCTCTTTCTCGTGCTTCCTCTTTCTTTTGCCATCGCTTTCTCTTTCCTTCGCTTTCGCTTGCCATCTCTTTTTCTTGCCATCTCTTTCTCTTCATGTTTGAACTTTGGGGCAGCATGGCCAGCTCCTGCATGGCCCCAGCGCTCTCAAGAACAAGACCCACTTACTGTATGCTGGCAGTATGCTGGCAGTATCCCAATCCAACATACAGATCCTACCTGCAACAAAGCCAAAAACGGTCACAAACATTGTATATATAGATGATTGAAATTGATTGAATATGTTGTTCGAACCAGATTGCTGCCGTTTGGGGTCTCACTGGGAGTAGCCTTTGGGCACTTTGGGAGCTCCCAATGCTCTTGCCATCCCTTTCTCTTGCCATCTCTTTCTCCTGCCATCAATCTCCCTTGGCATCCCTTTCTCTTGCCATCCCTCTCCCTTGCTTTGTCTTTCTCGTTACATCTATTGCCATCTCTTTCTCTTTTCATCTCTGTCTCTTGCCTCCTCCTTCTCTTGCCACCTCTTTCTCTTTACATCCCTTTCGTTTGCCATTTGTTTCTTTCGCCATCCCTTTCTCTCTTGGCACCCCTTTCTCTTGCCATCTCTTTCTCTGGACATCGCTTTCTTTTGACAAGCCTTTCTCTTGCTTCCTCTTCCTCTTGACATCGCTTTCTCTCGCCATCTTTCTCTTGACATTTCTTTCTCTCGCCATACCTTTCTCTTGCTTCCTCTTTCTCTTGCCATCTCTGTCTCTTGACATCGGTTTCTCTTGAGAACCATTTCTCTGCACAACTCTTGCCCTTGACGTTAGAGATCCATTTCTTTTGGCACCTCTGTCTCTTGACGCCTCCTTCTCTTCGCAGCAGAACTGGATCTCGGCGCCAAAGCAAGGAAAAGAGCGTTCATGAAGCGCTTAAAGTCAGAAACGCTCACCAAGGAGCAGCATTGACGCAGTAACTCGACTGCGCCAAACAACTGCACGGTTGCAAAACGCAATAACAGGCGCACACTGACACGGTCAAAACTCAGCTTGACGCAGCAATTCGACCGTGTTTTGCAACCACAGGACTGCAAACAACCACAGCAGCAGCGCGCAGAAACGCTTCAAAAGCAACCTCGGCGAAGCAATCCACATGCGCGTAGCAACAGCAAGATTGCAAAACCCAAGAGCAGGAGCGCACAGACACGCAGCAATTCGAGCTCCCCGAACTGTTTGGAAAGAAAACTGCAAGGGCCAAATTGCAGACAACAAAGCTCTCGTGCAACACTACATTCAAAAGGAAGTTGGTGCCCTTTTCTCTTGAGATCCATCTCTCTTGACCTTTTCTCTTAACGCCCCTTTCTCTTGACGCCCCTTTCTCTTGACATCCTTTTCTCTCTTCACATCTCCTTTTCTTGGCACCCCATTCTCTGGAATTGTGAAATGTTGAATTATGAAATTGTGAGATACTTGAACTGCGAGATAGTTGAATTGCGATGTACCTATTGAACTGATGCAGCTTCTGAACTGTGATGCAGTTATTGACCTGTGAGGCAGTTGAATTGTCAGGTAGTTGCATTTTGAGATAGTTGAATTGTGAGACAGTTGAATTGCGTGATAATTGAATGGTGAGACAGTTGAGTTGTGAGATGGCTAAATGTCCATAACACGGAAGTTTCTCTCCTAAATTCCTTTGATGGGTTTTTCTTAAGTTTCCAGACTGGCATCTCTTGAAACCTTTACTTCCAGAGGCACCGAAAACACAGTGCCAGGGGGAGCCAGGAGGACATGGTAGTTATTGCCGAAAAGCTACGTAGCAGCCGTGCTCCGGATCCTGCAGGACCTGGCACGGAATCGCTCGCCCGGCTAAATTCTTCAGTCTTGGGATTCGCCACTTCCTAACTCCAAACTTCATGTCCCACCGCCAGAAACGCCTTGATATTTGCCTCCAACAAAATGAACTCCACTTTCTACCCGAACAAAGGCCGTGACACAGAAGTTCTATTCGAGCCACATCGAGGCACGCCTCCTGGATCACGTATGGCACCTGCTCAGAGGCGTTTCTGGAGCGCAGGTAGTCGATCTGTCGCTTCTTGTCCTAGCGGCCAAGCCGCCAAGCATCTGCCCTGCTCCAACTAGAACTGCTTTTAAGATCTTCAGAACTTACCAAACTGTTCAGAACTATATAAAACCTCAAGCACTAATTATTGGCCCCGCTCCGCGTGGGACAACCGCACACACTGCGGAATTTCTTCCCAGACCCTCAACGCAATCCATTTTTTGGATCGCATTTTTAGATCTAAAAATTGGATCGCCGAGATCCATTTTTTGGATTGCATGCCTTGATGGCCTAGTTGGCACAGTGTGCAATCAACAACAGGGGCTATCAGTTTGCAGTGACATCGTCCAACAACGGACACGAAACTGCTTGAACTTTCCATTTTGGACAGAACACATGCGCTCTTCCACTTACGGCTTAAGGGCCCATCTTTTATTGGCGCAAGTGCGCGCGTAGAAACGGTTTCGCGCCCGAGAATGTTTTCACCCGTGAAATCGCATGCCTCCGAGCTGTTACACTTCCCAACTACTTGATGATGGGTGGTTGACATGATGATGTGGTCGAGATGATGGTGGGAATGCTTTGTCCATAACTCAGAAGTTTGCGAACTAAACTTCCTTTGTTGAACTATTTAGTGTGTTCATATATATGTATTATATGTAGCAAAATACACGCACGTGTGTCTGTCTACGTATGTAGGTCAATCAGTGGTTCTGGGAAACGCCCACCCTTCCACCCATGGCCACATGGCCAGATCTGATAACTCTTGTTTTTCTCCGGCGCTCCATGTGTCAGATCTCAATCTAACACAGCCAGCGTATTTTCCAGAAGTTCCAAAGTGCTGTTTATGCCAGCCACCACACTGGAGGGTTCCTGGTGCCAGGGTTCCAGCTCTAGCATTTGGAGGGTTGCTATTTGTATGGCATCTTTTAAACACAGTTTCAAATCTCAAACATTTTCAGCACAGACCAGATCCTCTCGAACCACACTTCGGGAAAAAGAAGTATCCCAAAGTTTTTTGTAGGCAATGGGTTTCTTCGTGAATGCTGCGTCTTGCTTGTGGTATGCTGCCGCCCAAATATCAATGACACACTGACAGAAAGCAGGGGTGTAGATTCCAGATTCTTTGAGGTGGGAACCTCCCGTCACAAATAACCGACGTTTGCTCTTGGACCGATGTTTGAAGTAGTAGGTCTTCTGGTTCTTCTCAAGGAATTTTTTTCGGAATTTCATCGCCGTTCTCAGATACCTGGGGCGCACACAAATCACCCTAACTTTACCTGTGTAAAAATGGGGAAAGTAAATATAAATATATATATATATGTCTTTATTTCTTATTTACATATATATATATATATTTATATTTATATTTATACATATGTATACATACATATATACGTCTATATACCTAGATATATAATCTATATATATATATAAGATTCTGGATGACGCTCCCAAGAAAACTCAATCGTTTGCCCAAATGCTGGTTTTTTTTCAAGATCATCCGACGTACTCCTGGAATACCAAGTAAAATGTTTGTTTGGATCTTGTCCCACTTTTCCTGGAGTTTTTTCGACCAGGTCCGCTCTAACGGTTTCATCACATCCTCGATGATGTTTACCATAAACACGGACGGTTTTGGTAAAGGGTGTCCAAAACATTTCATCCAACTGTGGATTCTGACAGCATTGATTGCCAGAAGAAATCGTGCCAGCTCAGGGAAAATCCAAAGCACGCTGCTTGCAGGCTGCTCCATCCTGACTGTGGCTCAAAGGATTGTGCTTGGAAAAGACTGCAAAGGATCACCTTTTTTGGAATATATATAGGGAATAGCCAGCCCCAAAAAAAACATCAAAGTGCTGTCAAAGCACACGATAAAGATAGAGCGGGAATGCGCTATTGCCAGCAAAACCACCAGATTCACAATCAGCTGGTTGGCATCTCTCACTTTTGCTCGCATTTGATTTCCGTACGGGAATGACAGGCACCTCATATGAAATGAGCTGGCAATGAAGACGAACAGTCCACAGGGTGACCCAGACATAAGCACTCCACGTTCCACCTTGGGGCGGGCAGCGACAGTTGTGAAAAAATGTTTTTAACAGGAACATTTCTTAGCCAATTAACACACCACCACGGGGATTAAACAACTGCCAAGTTGATCGGCCAGGCACCAGAGAGAGAACCAAAAGGAGCGCCTGAAAGAATCCTTCTTTAGTAAGCAGATTGTTGTTGGTGGGATCTCTCAGAATATCGTAGCCAGCAGATGTCAATCCGTTCTTCTCACATTGGGCTTCAAAATTTCCAGACCCCGCAAAGAGATCTAGTGATTGCAGGTCCCGCGGCCCTTTGAAATCCTGGACCCTTGTATGGATCTCATCTAAATTTTTAGAAGCATCGAAAGTAGAATCTTCAGGAAAAACTATTCGAACATTGTGATCGAATGCCATGGCATGGATGCTTTCGCTACCCTAGGCAGGCTTGGGGCAGAGCTTCGATATGAGATGTTATGGGACGGCAGCCAGCCAATTGGAACCAACAAATTTCGAATGAGTAGGGATTCCCACGCAAAGTTTCGATTCTCAGCACGATAAATGTAGTCAGCGACTTTTTTGAAACATCTTGGCGGTAGCCAGATCGCGGTGCTTCTTGTGCAAAGCCTGGCATTTCCAGTGAATCACATTTGCCCAAATCCTCCTGTGGCATGCCCTTGCAATCTTGGCTATTAATCCATTGAAGGATTCATCCCTGTACGTGCTGTATTTGCGTGGGTTTCCTTTGAAAAGCGCACGCTGAATAAGGTGAATCATAAAGTGACACTTTGGGGTAATGGGTCCATCAGCTTTGCTGTAGAACCGCAAAAACCTAAGGTATGTCCCCAATGCTTCCTGCACTTGTTTTCTTGAAAACGTTCTAGATTCAGCACTAAACACTGTATCCAGTTTGTTTGCTGCTTTTGCAGCCTCAAAAAGATATTTCCCCTTCCTTGCCATGTTTTCTGGCATCCGGGATGTGAAAGTATCCATGTGCGTCTCAAGCAGGTGGCAAACAAACTTTGCGAGACCATGCGATTCAGCAGCTTTCGCATGCAGGCTCGGATTGTCGTAGGTGCCAAGCATAGTCAAAGTCAGGTTCCAGACCTTCAAGGGTTAAAGACAAATAATTAGTATTAAGAATTAAGAATGCAGTCATTCCCATAAGATCATTTTGGTGGGTTTAAGCTCCAAGGAAAATATTTACATGAGGATCCTGACGAGTATTCTTTCTCAAACATTTGTGGGGCAATGAGAAAGGTTGAACCTACTTTCCAACCAAAGGGCTTCCGAAGATTTCCCAACCCAATCTGGATCCTTCCGCTTCTCTTTGTAGAATTGGAACAGTTCTGCTTTGATAGCGAGAAGTGACAGGTGGCGTTTGTCTTTAGCATCCAGACCATCAGTTTGCGGTGCCCACAAATTGGAGTCAAGACAATAATTCAGAGCTAAGCTGACAAGTAACTGTAGAGGGCCTAGATGCCAGCCGTGGAGAATGTCGAGGCTCCATGTCTGCAACCCAACTCCAGCTAGTTTGAGCAAAGGGCAATCGTGTAGTAGCCTTCCATCTACATGCCCCACCCACCAGTGGCATTGAAATGGCACATCTGTGAATTCGAATGCAGCTACATCAGGCAGAGTAGGTGTAGGCATCAGCCGACTGAATTTTTTCAGCCCAAATTCCGGCAAGTCTTTCACAAGGGTTCGGCCCCGGTACTTTTTCTTGTACTGCAATTTCTGATAGATCTTGGTTCGCATCTCAATTGTGCTGACGTCCAATACCTCAGCGAGATTTAATTCCATTTGTTTGGCAAACTTTGTGGATAGCAAAACAACCCATTTGTAACCAAACATTTTTGAAAACATTTCGTTGGGATCCAAGGGGCATTAACGCTTTGATCAAGATCCTGCAGATAGTCACTGGTTGTATACTGCTCGAAAGGCATCGAATCCACAGTTGTATGGTTCAAATTCAATTCCTGTAGCTGGTTCTGATCAATGCGACAAAGTGGACATGGATGGGTGTTGTGGCTCCAGTACCGAAGCCCAAATACTTGTAAAAATGCTGGCCAATCACCCTGGATGTCCAGGACCGCGTATCGAACCAATGGAGCAGTCTCCAAAGCCTGGAGGTCAGACACCCAGGCTTCCAGCAAGGGGTGCAGGCTGCACCACCCACGGCAACCACATTGGCACATCTCATCGCTGCCTAAGATAGTTGGTGTAAACACAACAAATTATTCAGAAATTAAGTGAGTGGAGTGGCTGTGTTTTTGCTGTCCTCAAAATCTCCTGAAAAAAACTTCAGACTTAAGGACTGAGTTTTGGACGAAGTAGGAAGGAGAGGAATTTCTGGTTGCTCAAGATGTCTGTGACATAGAAAGCTGTAAAAGAATCGTTCTTGGTGTAGGCAACCCCATCCCAGTATAGAGCTAGCGGTCGAACTTTGGTCTTGAAACCTTCAGCTTTTGCTCTAAGAACGACAGGGTGCTCGTTGTAGCAATCCAAGCCCCCAATCACTTTTTCAAAATCTTTCCGTGGGTGGCAGTAAACCATGTCATCCGTGATATGATCTCTGAAAGCTTGGGACGGCAAGTAAATGGGAATTTTCTCACAAGTTCGAGTGGCATTCCGCTTGATGTAGGCAGGGCAGTCAATGTAAGCCAGGTCAATGTCATCGTAAATTTTTCCTGCATGCTTCTGAACATGTCGATGCCCATTCTTTGAGGCCGAAGATGGGTTCAGCGCAAGATCACTGACTCCCAGGCCGCCAGCTTGGGTGATGTAATGGGATAACAGAGCTACGTCAGAACCAGGCACCCCTTCTGTGCAGAATTTGTCTAGAAGAAACTGTCTCAGTTCCAATCCAGCTTTGCGTCGGAGTTCATGTTGTGGGTCATCAGCTAACGATTGCGCATGAGCAAGTTGGGCATCTAGTCGTGCTTTCTTATACATGGGGGGCCACCAAAACTTGAACCAAAATTTGATTTCAGTCCCCATGCATGGGCGGTTTCAAGTGGACACGTGAGGCCAACCCCAACCATATACAAGTACAGCCATACATTGAACAAAACCTGTCAGCTTTCAAAATCAACATCCCTGCAGACCACGCCCTTGAAGATTTTGACATCAGTTTCAAAGGTGCACAACCGTTTGCCCAGAGCCCCCCTCTGCGCGTAACCCTACACGAGCAGCTAGGTGTTCGTCACCTAGCCCAAAGATCCTAGATAGAATCAAACTTGGCGCACAGCTTTTGAAAGAACATCTATGCCAGTAACTTTCCAACCTAGAATCTTTATTAATCATGCGTTTGGGTTGAGATGGCGCTAGCGCACAAGCTTTGACATTTGAAACCCCTTGTGAAAAGAGTAAGGACTATAGACTCAGGCAATGCGAAGCTTCTTGCTCTTAGGTCCTTCCGGTTCGACCATCGCCTGTGCCATCTTGTGGACTCGTGTTGCCAGACCATGCATCCTGAGAAGGGGCAACGAAGTAGCAAAAAACATAAGACCCAGATAATTTTTTGGGGGGGAAAAGAAGCATGGGAAAAAATTGCACTTGTGAAGATGAGATTCCCTGCCGCGATTGTCTGACAGCGGTCCACAAAGAGGTTCATGAAGGAGAGGTAATCATCCTTGTAGGTCTTCTTCAAGCTGCGGATGCCAGTCTTGCCCAGGATGCTAAGCTTCACACTGTCAACGAACTCTGTGATGTCTTGACCTTGTTCCGGAGTCATCGCGTCTCGAAAGCTAGTCACCATCTCTTTGTACTCTTCGATGAAGCTCTTTGCCCACCGATACTCTGAAGGCAAATCATCTCCTTGGCCAGCGACCTTCTCCATGATTTGGGTTGCCATTTGGTGATTCGATAGAATCTCCTTCACTGCCTTTTCTGCCGCCTGCTCTGCCGAAGCCTCTTTCTTGGTCCTACCCCCCCTGCTGCTTTGGGCTTGGGAGTGGCTTTGCCCTTAGCCTTGGCCTTTGCTTTGGCCTTGGCCTTGGGCGCGGGTGCTTCGCCATCCTTGTTGGGAGAACCTGCTTCTGGTGAAGAGGGATCAGTAGCTGCACTGTCAGACGTCCCAGACGACGTCTCACCATCATTGAGGCCAGGGATGCACACATTCATTTCAGCCCATCCTTGGAGACCTTGTGGACTAGCAGCAACTTCTTGGACGTTGCAACTTTCAAAGGGAACCCCATAAAAGAAGGCGTATTTCCTCACTGCCTTGCACTTGAAGCTCTCTGTCTCAAAGGTTCCCGAGGAGTCAACCAACTCCGCAACATCCTTCCAAGACTCCTCCTCACACTTGGACACCAGCTTCTCGACCAAAAGGTAGTTGTCAGCCTCTGTCCAGGTGTTGTAGAAGACGAAAGCCTCCTGCCAACATGCGGTTGCAGTAGGTTAGGAACATAACCCTATGTCTCTTTGAACTGGGTGTGGACGTTTTTTTTGCACATATATTACACACATAATATATATATATATATGCATATATATATACATTGATAAATAGATAGATGGATGGATGGACGACTGGATGGATGGATGGATGGATGGATGGATGGATGGATGGATGGACAAATAATAGATATGTAGCTATGTAGTTGCATATGTTACAGATAAATATGCATTTGTATTGTGTGTGTCAAACTTCAACAAATAATGCAGAAGATGAGCAAAAATGACAACCCCCAGTCCTCCCACTTTCTGCAGTTCTTGATGTAGTTCGAAGCCTGGCGCTGTGCTTCCGGTTGATCGACACCACCGAAATGCTGCTGTAGTTGAAGCTCACTTTTCCACACCCCAATCTCCTCTTGTTTCACCTTCGTGCTGATGGTCTTGATCCTCTTTTTGAGCACTGTGTCGAAAGACCTGTCCATGGCCCATGACTGCCTGAACTTTTTTTTCAGATCGTCAAAGAGCCACTTGTAGCATTCTTGGGCCCCAGGATCTTTTTTCAGTTGGCGATACATGGCATTCCCCATAGGTCCACGTGCCTTGCAATCAAGGCCGTAACACGCCCAACCTTCTAATCCTTCAGGACTCTCAACCAGCATCTCTTGAGTAACATCACCCACGGACACGTTGTGGAACTTGGCGTACTGAACCTTGGCCCTTTGCACACTAGGTTTCCTATCGTCACTAGGTCCAGTCACATTGGGTCCCGTCGGCGGAACTGGTTCTCGGGCAGGTGGATCACTTGGAGCGGTCTCCTCAACCTTACGGGAAAATATAATGAGAGAAAAACAAAAACAAAACTCTACACAAAAAAAGGTTTGTTACAACACCATACCATTAAACAAGTTGATTTTTGAGCAGCACTTTGAAAACTCTCCCATGCAGGCCTGCTGAGTGTCTTCCTCATCAGGATTGGGCACGGGGGCTGCAAGAGCTGCATCGGCCATGGTGCTAGGGCGAGCGTAGGCAATCGTAACCCCAAAAAGCTTTGATCTGAGAGCGTTGGTTGGCAAGGTGTACCCCTCATCGAACCCTCATCGGACCCTCATTGGACCCGAGTTCAGGGAACAGGGGGGGGCTCATCGCCCACTTCAATTCATTCCAAGCTTTCGGAAAACTATTTTTTTGGTAGGCACATCACATGCTCATCGGTTATATGGCCGGACCCCCTCATCGCCATCCGTGCTAAAAAAATTTGGGGGCTCATCGGTCCATCCAATTCTTTCCAAGTAAGCCAGTTTGGGGTAAATCAGGGGGGCTCATCGGATGCTCATCGCTATGGGCTCATCGACCCCTCATCGCTATGTTTTTTGATGGTTTTAATCAAAACTGTCAAAAATATCATAGTTGGATATTTCACTGCCCCGGCTACGGCACCGTAGATCCATATCCGAAGGGGATCCAATTTTGTCCCAGATAAGGGATCCAATTTTGTCCCAGGTAACGAGGTAATCAAATAGGCCCTCATAAGTTTGCATACGGGTGCCAAACCCATAATAACCAACATAGATCTACCTAAAAGTCAAGCAGCATTTTTCCAAAGAAATTGGATGTCCTTGACATCACATCACCCACATGGGCCCCCGACTCCCCTCCACGATATGGAATATGGCTATTTGCCATCGGCTAGCCTTCAAACTTGGACCCCACCAAGCCCCCCAAGTACTATGTTTTCTTAAGTATTAAAATTCATGCTTTTCTAACTTGCTGGGGTTCAAGTTTGAAGCCAGCCCAGTTGCTGTACCTACCCGTTCCTGCAAGGATGTGGGCCCAAAGAAAGAAGATAAGAGCGTGAGGGGAAGAGGCAGGGAGGACAAGAAAGAAGTGGCAGTACAGAATCATGAAGTATAGGAATTACAGAATCTTTTTTGAAGCCTGACCGCTTTGGGCCTTGCTTAACTTCAAACGGTGGCTTTGGCATGTTTCACAACCTTCGTAACGCACTCTTCAAAGTCCAGTGAAATTTGGTGAAAGCGTTAAGGCCTCATCAAGAAGCCTCAACCAAAACAATTTCGGTTGAGTTTGTTTTTTGCTTGTGCGTTGTTAATTTTTTGGGGGTTGGTTGAGAAGAATCCATTTAGGGAAAACATCCCAAAATAGTGAACCCCAAAATGGAGCCGTAACGCTCCCAAAATGGAAGCGGTAACGCTCCCAAAATGGAAGCAATAACGCTCCCAAAATGGAAGCCGTAACGCTCCCGAAATGGATGCCCAAAAGGTAGTTCATGAAATGACTTTTTGCAATTTGGGTTCCCACAGCTTAGCTAGTCCAGTGGTCCCCAAAACCCGCCTTTCTTGACAGGCTTGTGGCCCACAAGGTATCGTGCCAAGAGTTTGATTCTCAGATCAGAACAAGTCTGGAGAAGGACATGGTGATTTTTTAGAGATGTATACATATAGAAAATAGAAGTTACAAAGAAAGAGGGGGTCAATGTAGAGGAGGGGAGGAAACAGGGGCCACCACCTTGCAGGAACGATTGAAGGTAGATCTCTTTCCGAAGCAGTTGTGACGGTCTTTGATTTTTTTTCCGTAGCATGTGATTCCAAATGTTTCCACGTATGCGATCTCGAAAAATTCCATCGCCAAGCATAGCACCCCTTTGACAATGCAAGAGACAATCAACATTGTGTTGTGAAAAATCGGAATAGAGGATTTGGGACGCAAAATCTTATGGTGGTAGCTCGGCTATGCTCAAACAAAATCTGACCCAATCCCGGAGTCTCTCAATCCGTAGAGCCACGACCGCGCTCATCTCCAGGTCGCTTGCCCTTGACATCTTCCGTCGCCACGTCGCCGCCTGAATTGCAGAGGCCAGCCACAGCAAGTGGGAGCTTGGGGCATGCATCCATAGGAAACCTAACTGTTTTCTGGCTTGTTCTAGAGGAGGTTCTAGGACATGGCCAAAAACACATTTTCTCAAAGCATACCTGTCAAGATGAAATTGCTTTGGTAGGTGGATACGCAGGCACTACTTGGAACATTTATAGCGTGTTTGCCCCGGAAGGGGGTCAAGGAATTAACCCAGGAGAGGATCACAAAAACAAAGCACTTCCCAACCCCTTGAAGTGTTAAAAACCTGTTGTGGGCTTAGTTGCATTTGATGATTTGAAATCTGTGGGTCAAGACGTGGGCCCAGAATGGGATGATATCAGTTTCAAACCCATAAATCAAAACAAACCGTTGAAATAGATTCCTCACTATTTCTGGACTTGACACCAACATGACAAGCTAAGGAAGACCCCACCTATATCATCTTTAAATTGTATAGGGGGGATGCCGGACATGGCCCGCAAGACCCGTAGGACCCAGCCTGACCCAGAATCCTTTGCCATCTCCAAGCGCTTTTCGTATGCAGTGTGCATAGTGGTTTTCTCTTCCCAAGTTTCATACAAATAGTTCAAGAATTTGCCTGATGTATGCAGGTCCACCAATTTGTTGCGTATGCCCATAAGATCGTTGATGTCGTTGTCACCATCAAGGACTAGACTCATGATGAC